CTTACAAAATATTTACTAGAATTGTTTTTTTTATGTAGACCGTACGCAGAAACTACCTCCTCTATTTTCATGGTGTTTACAATTGAACTCTCTTTTCTGTTTTGTTGGTTGCTTGTACTTGAGGTATGAAGATCACTCATTTTGTATTTCACTCAAGAAAATAAACTAGGAGGAAAAAGGTTCGTAGGATTCAATGCAGTTAAAAGCGCGATTCTACCTAAAAGCGTAAAAGGGGTAAAATCGAAAAGCGGTGAATCAAAGCGTAAAATCGTAAGTTTTTATGCATCCTGTATAATAGTTAAAAATCTGTTAAATACAGCATAAACTATGTAAAATATGAGTGCACAGAGTTTAGATAAAAGAATAAATACCTGCAATTCATGTCTAAATTAAAACAAACTATTATCGAGCCATGACCACATGGCTCTTCCGCTGTACTCTTCGATCCATCGATCTCCCACCACTACAACAGCCACCGTTGTTTCCGCCTCCGCTTCTATATTAATTAATCGTACAATCCAACTCTTTGTCCTAGAAACTAATAAAAACAATTGCTTTCCCCTTCATTGAGTAGACGACGAATCTTCATAGTTACTGATGTACAATGAAAAAAAACTACTCAAATTGGTGAAGACTGAAGTGGCGATGAACTAGGACAAGGAAGAGACAGAAACTAACCAGTTGTGTTGTCGGCGAGTGGCGACAGGCGATGACGAGTCCGATGGGTGATAAGTGACGGACTCTGCCGTGTTGGAGGCTTGAGCCTGGTAGCAGCTGCAAATTCTTCGCTGGAAGGTGGTGGACTGGCGACAACGGTTGAAAGCCTTGTAGCAGCTGCAGATTCTTCGCTGGAGCCTGGAAGGCCTGCCTCGGGACGGCGGCGACAGGCAATGACGAGTAAGGAGGGCGGCGGTAGGCCTGCCTCGTTGGAGTGCTGGAGACAAGAGACAACGATTAGGAATTTTGGAAGAGTTTGGCAGCCTCGTCCCGATATCCACCCTATTCCCTTCTTCTTTTTTGTCTGAAGTGCACAAAACGACGTCGTTTTGGTTTGGTGGAGGCATTTTTCTCCTTTGCTTGAAATCGGATAAAATCGGTTTGAAAACGCGATTTTATACGATTTCACTGATTTTAACGATTCTACTAACGCTTTTGACCGATTTTGAGTGAAAAACGATTTTATTAGTGATTTGAAACGTTTTCCTACCCTAGAAACGTAAAATCGTACGTTTTTACGCTTTAAAGCGCGATTTTGACTACACTGGTAGGATTTTGAGAACATGCTTTGATGTCGTGTTGAACTATATATGGAATAATTTTTTATTAATTGAATTTGTTTCTCTCTTTCTTAGATAGATATATGAAAGCTAGATATCTATATATACACATACGTACTTTACAGTAAAGAATAAGCAATTGCATGTTGTTGGAATTGTAGTATGTGGTATAGAATCCATTATTGAACATCTCTCAACAACTCGACTTATTAGGATCAATTGGTTCTTGACATGGTATCAGAGCCTTTTATGCGATGTAAGCACACTAGCTCTCAAGAGAGTCCATTTCCAAGCATTCCAAGTGATGTTGAAATTGAAGAAGAAGGAAGTGCTTAGTTTGGCTAAGCGCGGAAACAACTTCAAGGTACCTACTTTGGACACTTATAGTTCATATCGAGAGTTATTCAAGGGAAGTTGGGAGTTGAGGTGAGAGTACAAGTCTTGCTAAAGATTGTAAAGGCAATGGATGAGAAGATTGAAACTTCCGGGACACCAATCGAGCAGCATGAAGATCGTATGATGACCGCTTCAAAATCTACGGTCAGACAATCAATTCCACGACCTTGGAATAGAAGGCTAGACGCTGGATTTGAACAATAGCATTCCACGCCACTAGCATCAATTCCAGGACCGTGGAATTAGAGGACTGACTGGGGAATTTGCCTGACGAGTTAAAATTACCTTTTGTCTTTAGGATTCTTTTCCTTTTTAGCTTTTTGTTTAGTTTTTGTTCCTCTAGCCTAATAAAGGCTTTAAACTTCAGTTTTAGGTCAGACTTTGATGAATTGAAAAACCCTTTTGTTCATTGAGCGTTTTGCTTGTGAATTTTGCTTTCTTCATTGGTGGACTGCAATCGCAGTGAGTGTTGTCTCTGTATCAATCGAGTATTCCCTTGATTGTGGTCGAGCTTCTACCCTTATATTGATCGAGCCTTCTCCCAGGTGTGAGATTACACTTCAATTCCGCCCTAACCTTTTATTTTTCATGTTGTTGAGAAAATATAAAAAAAAAACCCTAAAAAGATTTCGGTTGCGCAACTTTGACAAGTGCGAGTGTCGGTTCCGTGCTTATATCAAGTGGTATCAGAGCCACTATTCAACACAGTGGCAAGGAAGACAGCGCCGATGCAAACCATGGAGCCAAATCTTGCAGACGCCATGAGACAACTAGCATCACAAATGGTTCATATGGCATCCTTATTCTAAACCATGGCTGGACAGACATCGAGTTTGAGTTGGAGTTCCCCTGTGCAACAGAATTCGAGTTCTGATGAAGTTAAGGTTTATCTAGAGGACGAGTCGAAGGATGCCACCGCTTCTGGCAAGTTCCTTGAAGGCAACAGAGTGGTCTCTCCAACACTAGGCACTCCAGAGCAAAAGAAACTCAAAGAGATGGAATCGTCGACTAACTGTCTAGAACCGCAGAAGAAAGATGGAGATTTCTACGAGATGGTCATAGTGGAAAAGGAGCAAATGATTTATCTCGATCCTTTTTATTACTATTATGATGATGATGATTTTTCTTGCAGAAGCCTACAAGTTTTTAGGGAAAATCTTTGCAACGGGGAGGGAATGATGTAAGCACGCTAGCCCTCAAGAAAGTCAATTTCCAAGCATTCCAAGTTGTTTTGAAATTGAGGAAGAATGAAGTGTTGAGTTTGGCTATGTGCGAAAATAGCTTCAAGGTACTTACTTTGGACGCTTGCTTGTTTATATTGGGAGCTATTTGAGGGAAGTTGGGAGTTGGAGGTGAGAATACAAGTCTTCCTAAAGATAGTAAATGCATTGGATAAGAAGATTGAAGCATCAGGGACACTAAACGAGCAGCCTGATAATCATAGGGTGACCAGTTCAAAATCCACGGTCAGGCAATCAATTCCATGTTCGTGGAATAGAAGGATATACAGTGGATTTGAACAGTAGCATTCCATGGCCACAAGCATCAATTCCACGACTGTGCAATTGGAGGACTGATCGGGGAATTTGTCTAGCGAGTTAAAATTACCTTTTGTGTTTATAATTCTTTTCCTTTTTTCCTTTTTGTTCCTCAAGCCTATATAAAGGCTTTGAAATCCGGTTTTAGGTAAGACTTTGATGAATTGAAAACCCCTTTTGTTCATTGAGCGTTTTGCTAGTGAATTTTTCTCTCATCGTTGGTGCACTCCAATCGTGGAGTGTTGTTTCTGTATCAATCGAGTATTTCCCTTGATTGTGGTCGAGCTTCTACCCTTATATTGATAAAGCCTTCTCCCAGGTGTGAGATTGCACTTCAATTCCGCCCTATCCTTTTATTTTAATTTTTTGTGTTGTTGAAAAAATATCAGATTGTGGCTGCGTTACTTTGATAATTACGGACGGGTTTCGTGCTTGTATCATGATGGCCGAGAGGTTTTGTGCCCGAATCTCGACGACCCAAATTGTTAAGCATGTGGTATTCAAACATGTGTAAACTACAAGCCCATATGATTAGGATTTTGTTTGAGTGGGCATGTTAGTGAATAATATAAGATCCATAATCGAACCTCTCTCAACAACTCGAGATATTCAGACCAATTGGTATTTACATGGTATCAGAGCCTTCTATGACCAAAATGTCATCTTTTTTAATCCTGTTGAGCCCATTTGTTAAGAACATAGTATTGGGACCTACGCGAACTTCAGGCTCACATATGATGGTTTTCATTTGAGGGAGGCGTGTTAGTATATGGTATAAAATTCATTATTAAATCTCTCCAACAACTCGAGTTATTGAGATCAACTTGTTCTTGACAAGCGATAGGAAGGAAGAAATCAATGCTAGGACATGAAGAGCTTAGAACGTGCCACTAGTTTGACTTTTGACAAACATGTGGATCAATGGGTTCCAATATGTACCATTACGTTCGACATGCCACTAGTTTGACAATCACGATATAGGGCTAGACTTACAGCCCCACTAAGACAAAGTCTGTCTATATCAAATGAGATAAACATGGAAGATACATATTATCAGGTCATGCCCTACATAATATTAACTATCCATAGCCATCCCTGGTTGTTAATATGATTTAAATGAGATGATATGTAGTCGACTAGATGTCACGAGGATCTCGTTGCCTGTCTAGGGGCGAAACGCTCGGTTAGGATGCTTGGGGGAGCAAGGTTTCTAGAGTGGACCTGATCTGTAACCTTATTCTCTACCAGATTGGATAATTAGGGATATACCGTTTCGAGAAGTACCATAAATATTTCTCATACTCCTCTGTAATCTGTATCAAAAGATAAAATCTTCTCAAGTATAGTGAAGCAGGCTTTCTCTGTGTTTGTGGACTAACTAACACATATTGTGTTGGTGAACCACGTAAATACTTGTGCTCTTTCACTATACTTATGGTTGTCTTTATTGTTGTTGATTTCCCCGGTCGGTGGGCATGACACTGATTAATAATTATAATGATGACTTCGCACCAAAATTTTCATGTCATCTTCTCATGAGTTATGAGTCATGATCACTCCCCATTCCCTGTACATTACGTACACAAGCAACATCAACACACACAATGTCCTGAAAAGCATTAATATATCGACCAGCTCGGTCTAGTTTTGAATAATATAATCCATCAATCTCAACAAGTTCAGCCGTCATAATATCATCATTGGATGCAGAGCAGTTCTTTGCGTATTTGTTTCTCTATATCGACACGGAGATTTGGACTGCAAATTAAATAGCGCCTGTCCCGCTTAAATGGGAGGCTATATATTGAAGGTATGCCTTGCGGCTCAGAACCAAGTCGTCGCTAAAACCAAACACCTATATGGCGACGAAATTTGGGGCATCGTCAGCCTTTGTTCTTTATTTCTTTTTCTTGACGCCTGCTATATCTTCGTACTTGGCGGCACCTCAGCTGATAATGGGAACAACAATTGCTTGAACACCACGGCGAAGTATAATGTGCCTTTCAACGGGATCGATTACCGTAATTCTACGCCCACCGGCAGGGCTAGCAATGGCTTGATTTTGCCTGACTATGTTGGTGCGCACGTTTCTCTCTGTCTTGTTATTTTTCTGTCAGCTGCATTTTTATTACTTGGTGAATTTTCCTATGTTATATTACCAGCGAGGAGGCTGAATCGCACCGAAAGCCCTCGGCCGATCATCTGCCTTATCCGAAGCTCCGACGAATACAAACGGGCTATACTGACCGAGGGCGGCACTTTGGCTTCGGCAAGCTCCGGAATTTTTGACACAACCGGCCGCCCGCGGTTTGGCGAAGTTAGTAATTGGCTAACAATTTATATGTTGACGTACCCATCTCATTAATTTGGTCGATCATGATCAACATATATACTACAGTACAGGTACTGCCATTACGCACGCAGGTGAAGTTCTTCGGGGAGGTGTACGAGGACTTGATTGATTTACAGGGCCGACAAGCCGCCGCCAGTTTGATACGCCGCTCCCTCTTTATAGTGTCCACCGGAAGCTCTGACATCGCCGACCAACTGGATCGGCACCCCATCTCCGACAGCTTCTTTATCACCGCTGTGATAGCCCAATATGTTGGTCTGTTACGGGTGCGTAACAAACGGGACCTTAATTGATTACTACCTACATTATAATTCAACGCTTGGTTGGGACTGCTCTGTAAATCCAAACTGTGGTAGTGGTTGGCTTATATATGCAGAGTCTATATGCATATGAAGCAAGGAAGTTCGCCATTGTGGCACCTCTGCTGATTGGATGCAACCCATCTTCCCGTGCCGAGAACGCAACCGGTGGTGGCCGGTGCAACCAGAGAGGAACTTCGTTGACGCTCGACTTCGTGGAGAGCCTCGCCACCGCGCTGAGACGGCTGCGCGTGTTGTATCCCGATTTCCAGTACTCCATCTGTAACGCTCCCAACTTCTTGCTGGATGTCAACGCAAATCCTGGGAGTTTCCCGGCATGTGGTACGCACCCAATAACTAACCTACTTCTAACTAGTTAATCAGTTACGTGGTATCATCACTGATTATATATATATACCGTGAATGCGTGCAGGTATAAGTGAGGTGAGAGATGCGTGCTGTGGGAACGGAACCATGCCCTGCCGGCCAACTTCAACCCTGTGCGGCAACCGCGAGCAGTACCTGTATTGGAACCAGTACCAGCTCACTCAGGAGGGCTCCAGGATCCTTACTGCAGCTTGTTTCAGCAGCAACCTCAGATACGCCGCTCCTATCAACTTCTACCAGCTTGCTCGTACTACTACCTGAACTACACCGGGAGCAGCACTTGTATTGCGTACGTCCCAACAATATCCACTTCCTAGTTAGTAGTTAGCTACCACTTCAATTTCAAATTTAATGAAGAGGCAAGAAATGAACACCAAGCACAGCCCATCTTATTCTAGGTGATGAGATGAAGTCTATTGAGTGTTCGGCTATTTCACTCCATTCGGTTGGTTGAACATATAGCATGTAAAATATGAAAAAGGACCCAATTATATTCATCAAGTACCAAAGAGTCAGTGACTCGAGGGGCAAAGGTTTGATGTCTAACTGCCATCTTTTAAGGGGGGAAGTGATGTCACAAGTAGAATGGGAAAAAACTGTTAATCACAACCCCAAAACAAGCAGCACGAACATTGGTGTCACCATTAGCGCTGACCTCACCAGGATCTTAAAAAAGTTAACTACTAATGCTCAAGAAACCTAACTGAGAAACATCCATAAAAAACTGGTCCTTGGAACACTGTAACCAAGAAAACTGACCTCAGTTCCAAATCTAAGTTACTCCAATGACCAAAGAATCATCCTTCAAGCATGACTTTGGCAGCATCGATGAGGGTCGGCCTAAAATCACGAGAAGCTCGGCCAAGCACTGTGTATCCTTCTTTGTCCTCCACATCCACATCTGCTCCATGTCTTATGAGTAGAAAAGCCACCTGTCAATGAAACACCAGAGATCGACAAACAACTTCATCACAATGAAGCAAGGGAAAGATACAAGCTGGCATCTTGAGCACACAATCTAAAGCTCACCTCTTTGTTCTCACAAATCACTGCGTTCATAAGAGGGGTTTGACCAACTCCGTCAACAGCATCTACCTCTGCTCCTTCCTCGACTAAGAGTTCACACAACTCGGCCCTCCCTGTACTCGCTGCTCGATGCAATGGTGTACATCCTACCTGAATAATGTAGCATTTGCAAAGCAACATAGCTGTTGAAACATATGAAGCTTGAGAACAGATATATTCACAGGAACAGCAATCAAGTCAGAGTTACAAGCCTTGTCCTTGGAGTTGATCTTTGCACCATGTGAAATCAAAAGTTCAGCAATCTCCAACCAACCCTTGCTCGCAGCATAGTGAAGAGCTGTGCGTCCCCCATCATTTTTCAAGTTGACATCAGCGCCTACTCACAAACAATGCAGTCAAAAGCGCGATTCTACCTAGAAGCGGAAAAGGGGTAAAATCGTAAAACGTAGAATCAAAGCGTAAAAGCGTAAGTTTTTGACGCATACTGAAAAATAACTAAAAATCTATTAAGTAGGACATATGCTATGCAAAATATGAATGCACAGAATTTAGATAAGTTAATAAATACATGTGATTCATGTTTAAAGTAGAGCAACTTATAGCATCTTAATAATAAGTTCGTAAACATAAATTTTAACGATAAGCCACTTTTCCCTCTATGCTAATGAATTTGGGAAAACCCTAGTTGGTGAATTAGATTACTCTATTCAAGTAGAATGCATCCCAAGTACCTAGTATGTATCTTTTAATCTCAAATGTATCATATTGTTATTGATTTACTTTAAAAATATACTTTTTATAATTAATTTCATGAAAAGAATACTCATGTAGCGAACTAAAAGCGTAAAAACGTAAAGCGTTTTGGTGAACTAGAACCGTAAAATCGTAAGTTTTTAAGTTTTAAAGCGCAATTTAGTCCGATTTTATACACTTAAGTTTTTATATGGAAACGAAAGCGTTTTGGTGACTCAAAAGCGTAAAATCGTAAGTTTTTAAGTTTTAAAGCGCGATTTTGACTGCATTGCTCACAAATCATCTCCATAATCATGTAGAATTCAAGATATCAACCAAAGTCGATTAAGGCTGAGACCTAAAAAACTAACTCGAATAAACCGTTCGCAACTTCACTTCACATGGGCAGTGTAAACATGCTTGAATTGAACAGCGGTTCACAAATCACTGAACAAGTATCCAAGTCCTATCTCTACATAACCACGCAAATCAAACAGCGGTGAGCTACTTGTTCTAATTTGGCAGAGTAAGTCTTACCTTTGCTCAGCAAAATCTCCACAATCGGCACACTCCCAATGCTAGCGGCGGAGTGTATCGGCGCCCAACCTTCATCGTCCTTGCTGTTCACCACACCGCTGGATGCTTCAACTTCGGACAAAAGCTTAACCACCTGAAAATTTTCTCCAGGTTAAAATCGAACATAACAGCTCAACAGGGGTGGCCGGGTGGGGGATGAGAAGGGAGAAGCAATGGAGTTCGATTGACGAATCGGAGTACCTCAGTGTGGCCGGACGAGGAGGCTACATGGAGCAGGGAGCGGCCGTCATCGTTTCGAAGCGATAGAGCTTTGGAGAGTTGCAGGGGCGAGAGCGAGTGGAGTATTGAACAATCGCCGGTCTCGGCGGATTTGAAGAGGTCTTTGTCTTTGATCTGCGGGAGCTGAGCTTGTTCCGGGGGATCTATCTCCATCTTAGTCGCCGAGGGATTTGGTCGTGGTCGGGGCTCCGTTGAAGTTTTACTCGAGGTTTACAGGTTTTGCCGGTTACTCGGTGGTCGGGGTTTCTTTGGGGTCTCGGTAGGAAATCCTTTTCACAAAGCGGTTCGGGGGATAAAATAAAATCATAAAACAAATTTCTGGCTTCAGAAACAAGAAAAGCAAAACGCACAGTTAGATAGATCCGCATTGGTGCAATTGCGTTTTTTTTACTGAATGGCTAAACGTCGCCCTAGATTTACGATAATCGCCCTAATTTAAAACGTAAAAGTACTAAATTATCCTTCATTAATAAAAAAAATTAAAAAAAGAATAAACCGCTAAAATCCCTAATCATCCTCCGCCTCTGTCCATAAGACCCTCCGCCATCAGCCTTCTCCGCATCTTCATTCGCCGGCGGCACCATCCACCCAACTGTGACCAGCCTCCTACACTCCCAACGATGCTCTGTCTTCGTTCCTTCTCCCTGCTGCCTATCTGTCAACAGTCTCCGCCGCTGGAATCAACCGCTTCTCCTTTCTCTCCGGCGTCTCATCTCTATTCCCTCTGTGTTGCGATGACGATGTGCGGACAGAAACAGGGAATGATTTTTATCTACAACAATATAGATACTTTAACAAGGAAATATGATCTGGACTTCATATTTCTATCTACAACAATATAGATACTTTAACAAGGAAATATGATCTGGACTTCATACGTGATCCCTTTTCTTTCTTGAAACTGTATATAATATACCCAGTTCAGGAAATTTTGATTGGCTTCATTATTTCCCTGCGTAAGAAGATGGTGGTCGTCTGGCCGACGGGCGGCGGGAATCAGTCGGCGGCGGTTAATCTCAATTTCAATTTTTTATGGATCGTGTGATAATAAAATATTAATTATCAATAAAAAAAGGGTGAAGTAGTAATCTTAACTTTTATATTAGGGCGATCGTAGTAGAGTAAGGGCGAGAATTAGCAACCCTTTTTTTTATGGCTAAATTACACGTTTGGTCACTCAAATTATACAAATTTTTCATATTTGCCATCCAAATTACTTTTCTTTCTTATTCGCCACTAACTTTACGAATCGTTTCACGGTTGGTCACCGGCCGTTACACTCCGTTAAGTTTGTCCTACGTGGCAGTCAACTATAAAGTTTGACCGTTAACTAGATGACGTGGAAATTAAAAAAAAAAAATTCTTTCCACCTCTTCATTGCACTTATTTTGTCTATATAATTTATAATATTAATAATTGAATAAAATTCAATAAATTACAAAAATGGGCAAATCATTGCACCTCTGGGGAACTCCTCCTCGGGGAAATAGGGATGGTTACACCGATCCCACCAGTCCTTTGACCTGTCCTTGACCCACAACCGCCGCTGCTGCGGCAGCGTGGCGCTCGTCGACCCACCTCCCGCACCACCACTCTGAACCGAATCCCCCGAACCCGCCGCAACCGCAGCCGCGGCGGATGCGACAGCGACGACGACGGCGGAAGCAGAGCGGCGGGAGCTCTTGGCCCTGGATTGGTCCAAATTATCCAAATTGGAGAAATGGGTCTGCATATTGGAATTAAATTCATTCATAACTCGCACCTTCTGATCGTGATTGGAATCGAACAAGGCCTTATCGTGCTGCGACTCCACGACCCACTGATTCTGCTCCTGCTTCTCCTCCTCGTCCAATAGCACAAGCGAGCTGAGAATATCCTTCACCGCATTCGTCTTCTTCAGCTTACTCTCGTCTTCACCGCCGCCAGCTTCCTTCCTCCTCCGCTTCTTACTGTTCGTATTTACACCATTTTTGTAATTTATTGAATTTTATTAAATTATTAATATTATAAATTATATAGACAAAATAAGTGCAATGATGAAGTGGAAAGAAAAAAAATTTTATTTTTTTTTTAATTTTCACGTCATCTAGTTAACGGTCAAACTTTATAGTTGACTGCCACGTAGGACAAACTTAACAGAGTGTAACGGCCGGTGACCAACCGTGAAACGATTCGTAAAGTTAGTGGAAAATAAGAAAGAAAAGTAATTTGGGTGGCAAATGTGAAAAATTTGTATAATTTGAGTGACCAAACGTGTAATTTAGCCTTTTTTTATATAACACCATTTTTTAATTCAACTCAATTTACTTTCATTTCATCGTATCAAATGTAGTCAAAATCACATTTTAAAACTTAAAAACTTACGATTTTACGCTTCTAAATCACTAAAACGCTTGTACACAAAATCTCCATTTTTATAACTTATGTAGTTAAAAACTCGCTTTAAAGCTTAAAAACTTACGATTTTACGCTTCTAGATCATCAAAACATTTCTACGTAGAAACTCGTTTTTAACTACATTGATTGTACCTGCATTGGCGCAATTAATTTGCAATCGCATATGGGGCCTAATTTTTTTTAATAAATAAAATTTTTTATAGATACCTTTTTAACCATATTGCAAGTAAATAAACTAATAATTTAAATTAATTTAAACAAAATCTATACAATTAATGTATAACATTTTTATTTCTAATTTATGAAGACATTTTAGCCTTGAGAATGGACTAGAAAGAATCTAGTACTCAATAATTATTTCCCAAATCAAAATAAAATGCTAAAACTAACACAATATTCAAATAGGACACATAAATAAAGTCAACAACTTATATGTAAAATTTTAAATGGAACAATATATAGACATAAATGTAAATTAAACATCATTTTCCTAATCTCCAAACCGAGCCAATATCTCTTATATCAAATCTTATTAAAATTGATTATTTGTAGAGCGATTACGAATTCTTGTATGATTGCGAAGATACTTTTCATACTTTATGAGAGGATTATTTGAACCTGCAGGCATAGAGACACTAAAGTTGACATCATCATTTGTATAATCAAAATGTCGGATGTATGAATGACGCTCATTTTCCACTATCATGTTGTGCATAATTATGCATGCTCTTATTATTTCTCCGATTATATCTTTCCACCACATGCGTGATGGACCATGAATTATTGCAAATCGTGCTTGGAGCATCCCAAATGTTGTCTCAACGTCTTTTCTAGCTGCCTCTTGCTTCTTAGAGAACAATTTGTGCTTCGGTCCCTGGGGTAATGAGAATGACTTGACGAATGTGGCCCAATTGGGATAAATACCATCAGTGAGTTAATATCCCAAATTATAATTTCGTCCATTAAGAGAATTGGAATTTTGTGGGTGTTTTTCCTTCTAACACCTCATGGAATACTGGGGACCGATCTAACACATTTATGTCATTTAATGTACATAGGTACAATGGAAATGAATATCATATAAATTGAGTAGATTTAAAGTTTTGTAAAAATAAAATATAGTTTCAGTCATAGTTAGTAAATACTTTGTTCGATACACGTCTACATTGCTCGTATGTAGTTTATCCGTTTAATTTTTTTGTATATGTATTATTATCAAACCGTTTAATTTTTACCCGTTTATTGATGGCTCCCGTACTAAATTCTCTATATATATATGTATTTAATGCATAACTTACCCGTGCCATATTTTACAAACTATGATTTAACTATATATATTCATTTTCATTCCCTCCAAAAAAACATAATAAAGGAACCCAAAGTGATTTGTATAGGGCGACCCCCTGCCACAATTGTGCTTTAAATTAGTAAAAAAAACATACTTACCAATTTTCAGAGTGGCTTTTATTTGCCATTGCATCAAATGGTATCTTGTATATTTGCAATGGTACTCCCATTGGTGGAACTGAAGGGTGCAATTTCATTTGGGCCTTCATGCCACTTTGCAATTGCAAAGTTTTCACCGATGGAGATGCTCTAAGATTCTAATTTCTAACATTGGATTTGTTTGATAAATTAATAAATATAGCCCTCTACTAATTTTTTTTTCAAATACAACCTTCTAATATTAAAATATAACGAGTTTACCCTTCCATCTAATTATCTATTAAGTGGCCATACATCCCCTTTCTTTTTTTATTTTGAAAATTGTATGGTGTCCTTTTAATAATAAGATCAATGCAGTCAAAATCGCGCTTTAAAACTTAAAAACTTGTGATTTTACGCTTTTAGGTCACCAAAACGCTTTCGTTTCCATATAAAAACTTAAGTGTATAAAATCGGACCAAATTGCGCTTTAAAGCTTAAAAGCTTACGGTTTTACGCTTCTAGTTCTCCAAAACGCTTTATGTTTTTACGCTTTTAGTTCACTAAATGAGTATTCTTTTCATGAAATTAATTATGAAAAGTATATTTTAAAAAGTAAGTCACCAACAATATGATACATTTGAGATTAAAAGATACATATAAGGTATTTGGATGCATTCTCAACTTCGATAGAGTAATCTAATTTCCCCGTTAGGCTTTTCCCAAATTCATTAGCATAGTGGGAAAAGTGGCTTATTGTTAAAATTTATGTTTACAAACTTATTATTAAGATGCTATAAGTTGTTCTACTTTAGGCATGAATCGCATGTATTTATTAACTTATCTAAATTCTGTGTTTTCATATTTTGCATAGCATATGTCCTACTTAATACATTTTTAGTTATTTTTTCAGTATGCTTCAAAAACTTACGCTTTTACGCTTTGATTCTACGCTTTATGATTTTACCCATATTCCGCTTCTAGGTAGAATCGCGCTTTTGACTGTATTGAATAAGATATTACCATACAAATAATTCAAAACAATTTAACTACATTTATATATTTTTAACATAAAATAATAATTATTATAAGAAAAAACATCACTACAACTGTACAACATCTATCGTGAACTCATAATCCAAATCGATATTCCAACACATCAAATTACAAATAATCAAACGACTTCATCAAATTAGCGAGGACCAACTAGAAAGACATCAAACACAAGTACCACAAGAACATCACCATTCACAAACATCAAAGAAGCAAAGATTATTAGGGTGTGGATTTGCTTTATCGATTGCAAAGTGGAGTAAGAGGGGTGACTTTCGGTTTCTGAATTGGAATATTTTTTAGACTTTAGGTGGAGGGCTGTTTGCAATAGGTGTGAATTGGAATATTTGGAATTGCGACTTTGGTTGATTTTGAATATTGCGAATTTTCCTCTTAGCCAAAGCTCAAAACTATCTAGTTATACGAGTAGGCGTGTTGATGTGACTTGAATCAGACTATATGGCTACGACTGGAAGTCACGGGAGAAGTACTATAAATAATTTTCATGCTTCTCTCTGTAATTTATATCTCCTTGAAGTAAAGTGAAACTGACACTCTCTTGGGCATGGACTAACTAACACCCTAAGATGGTGCATTGATTTTTTTGCCTATATTTGGATGAATCATAACCGTCGATTATTGTTTCTAATTAAATTGATCTTGGGGTATAAGATTTAGAGAATTAAGACCTAGATTTTGATCTTTAAGGGTCATAGTATAGTATCATGTCCGAAAGATCAGTCAATGCAAGTTCTAGATAGCGTTTTCTTACTTAAGGTATGCGGTACCCCGGATTTCACCATGGGTACCGTAGAACTACCCATCCATTTGAGGTTAGTGTATAGTATCATACTCCAAACTCGGTTTAATTCAGGGTCTAGATAGAGATATCTTACTATGGATACATGGAGCATAGTATGCACTAGGAGCAAAGGAGTCTGACCCATATATATATGGGTGGTTCTATCGTACATTGGGTAAAATCAAAAGTATGTCATACCTTTGATTAATAAAATAATATTTAGATCTTGAATTGACCGGAGTTTGACATCTGGTACTGTTCGTAAGCCTTGTAAAGATTAAAATCTAGGTCTTAATTTTATAAATCTCACACACTAAGATAAATTTAATTAGAAACGAAAATCAGTGGTCATGATTCATCGAAATATATGCAACAAACTACATGTATAATCTTAGGGGTTGGGCTCTATGTTTTAAATAACTAAGATCTAGGGTTCACTCATCAAGAGTTAGGGTATAGTATCATGCCCAAAAAATCGGTTAATTCGACGTCTAGATAGCGTTTTTCTACTTAAGGTATGTCGTACAATAGATTCTACTCGAGGTACGATAGAAGCCACCACATACAAACATATATATATATATATGGTGGCTTCTATGGTACCCCGGGTGAAATCCGGGGTACCGCATACCTCGAGTATGTAAACTCTATCTAGACCTCGAATTACCAGGATTTTTGTGTCTGATATTATACCCTAACCCTTAATGAGTGAACCCTAGGTCATAATTATCTAAATCATAATCTATAAACCCTAAGATGATGCATTCATTTTTGTGCCTATATTTGGATGAATCATAACCGTCGATTATTATTTCTAATTAAATTGATCTTGGAGTATAAGATTGGGAGAGTTAACACCTAGATTTTGATCTTTAAGTGTTAGAGTATAATATCATGTCCGAAAGATCGGTCAATTCAAGGTCTAGATAGTGTTTTCATACTCAAGGTATGTGGTACCCCGAATTTCACCTAGGGTACCGTAGAACTCGCCATATATATATATATATATATATATATATATATATATATATATATATATATATATATATAATGGAATAAAGAAGAAGCTAATCATGCATCACATACATGCATCGTTCTTTTCTATTTCCCTACAGATACAAGTTGTCCAATAAAACAATCACCCATCCATTTACTCCAACTACCAACTTGTCTTTGTCATCTTCAATTTCGTTGTCTCCATGTGAACTTCATAACTCCATTCACTTAGTGGTGGTTAGCCTTTCTTCTCATTTTGTCAAATGGATGGAGTGCATTATTTTCTG